GAAACAGTGTGAACGAAGCATGATTTTGATAACCACAACAGTTGTTGATCCAAGGACAGTGATGGTCCATCTTCATCACACATCTACAACAAGAAAAATTTACATAAAACATGAGGCAGAGAATCCTGTCTACTTTAAATAACTTAGGTCTTCAAAAGATCAAAAAGGCCAGGCACAGTGGCTTACTCCTATAATCCTAGCACTCTGGAAGGCCAAAGCAGGAGGATTGCTGCTTGAGTTCAGGAGTTAGAGACTACCATGAGCAAGAGCGAGATCCCATCTCTACTAAAAAACAGAAAAAATTAATCAGGTGTGGTGGTGCTCACTTGTGGTCTCAATCATTCAGGAGGCTGAGGGAGGAGGATCCCTTGAGCCCAGGAACGTGAGGTTGCTATGAGCTAGCCTGATGTCGCGGCACTCTAGCATGGGCAACAGAGAAAGACTTTGTCTCGGGGGAAAAAAAAAAGATCAAGCAAATAGGAATCTAGCATGTTCATGAGTCATAGGGGAAATATACTTCATGGAACAGAAAGAAAAATCTTTATGAGCTTTTAAACAATTATGAACAGTGACTCCTTTCAAATTCTAAACAGCACAAGAAAGGGCAGGCTTTGCAATAGCATCTGAGGAAAAGATGTCAGTTACAAATGTGTTAAATTAGAGGCTCAGCATAAAGAAATCATGGTTCTTTGGTTTTCCTCTAGCGTGAAAATGCAGTGACTACAGTGAACTATGATAGAGACTCAACAAAATCACTTATAAATCTCCACTGGGGTTGATGGGCCCAAACAAACATTTGTAACTTCCTTCCTTCCTGTTTTCATAGTGTCCTTTAGATATGAAATCTCTGAGCTAAGCAAGCTAACTTGAGAACAAAAGATGTGGTATAATAAGTAAAGTCTTACTGTGCTTATGTTCCTTACTGTTGCTAGAAGAAAATGTCCTGGTCTCAAATCAAACTTTATTTGTCTTCAATGGTTCTCTAAATTTCTTATTATTCAGTGATATACCTATTCCTTAAAAAAGGTTCTAGCCTATTTCAAATTTTTAAATAGTGATTCAGCTTTCTTCCCATTAAGCTTTTAATATTAAAACACTTGTGATAATAGGCACCTAGATTCATTTATTAGATCTCCATAAAGTATAAATATTTGTCAATAAGTAATGGGAAAAGCAGGTCTCCTTTATTATTTAGACACAGAACAAATTTAAAGTTAGTCAACAAACACAACTCACAAACATAACTAATCCTGATATCTGGAAACAAACTAAAGGTATAACTCTCTACCCTGCTCTAGTAGGACAAGAGGAAAAGTAAACCTGTAATTTTCTAGAACAATATTTTCATTTATAACAAAAAAGAATGAAATTTATTTATTATCTGGATTAATAATTTAGTGTAAAGTAGAGATTATGGACACAAGTATTTTGACAATATTTTTTATAGAGTGGCAACCTTGCAGATAAAACTAGGACTGATGAAACAGAAGGAAGAACAAAAAAAGACTAGTCACAAGTTGAACAGCCTCCAACGAACAGCAAGAAAGACAGGTACCTTTTACACTTTCTGCAGTGATGAGAACGTGGTGCCTTGTATGCTTGGCAGACTTTACAATACTGGAGATACATGGTATCCTGAGAATTTTCCTTGGCAGCAAAATAGGAACAAAAATACATTATATACCTGAACCCAAATAATAAGTCAGGCTTTATAAATAAATGCTTTCTTATGGTATGATTTTCTTTTATGGGAGATAGGGAAGGATGGAATCTTACCTGCATCTCTAGTCCATTTATTTGACCCAAAATATTTTTAAATAACAAATTTCTGGTAAGAACAGTATTGTTCTCCCAATTACTCAAAAGTCATTTTTCATTTCTCTTCCCCATTCCCACCCAAATCCATCATCACTAGTAGGTCCTACTACCCCAAATCTTAGTAGAATGGAAGTTTGAAAAAAAGGTAGCTGACAACTTGGCAAGTATTTTAAGAGTGGGAATTCAAGAATGAGTTGATACTCTTTTCTGAAATCTGCCTCCTCCTTGATATTATCACTGTCACTCCCCCTTCTGGGGACATTTTAATCACTTCCTAACTAGTTTCCTTTACTGTAGTTTCTCTCTAATCCAAAGTATGTATTATCAAAATATTATTCTTATAACAACTCTATGTCAGAGCTCTGCTTGAAAACCTACAAAAACTCCCTATAGTCCAACAATTTCTCATATATTCAAGACCTTCCATGATTTGCCTTTGTTTCAGCCTTCTCTGTACTACATAATCGTTTTTCCAGTCACAGTGGGTCCACTGTTTCCGAACATGTGCTCCTACCATTCTCTCAACCTGAAATGCCCTCTTCCTCATGTTCCTGTGGAAATTCCCACTCCTCCCATAGGTCCCCAGCTATAAATGCTCAGTTCTTTTAACTTCAACAGCACTCACCACCCTCTAGTTACCTGTACAAGTGCATCGGTTTCATTCCTAGGTTATAACCTTTTCAGAATATGAATTGTATCTTATCCATCTCTGTACCCATTTTGAATAGTACACAGCACACCATATACACCAATGTTTCTCAAACTTTAATATACCTAAAAATCATCTGGGGACTTTGTTAAAATAAAGATTCTAATTCAGGAGATCTGGAGTAGAGTCCAAGATTCTCCGTTTCTAACAAGCTACCAGGTGATGTCCTTTAGGAGGAATATGGACATTCATAAGCATAAACTTTCTAACAATTTTTAAGAAGCCATAAATTGATTCATATTATACATCCCAACGTTATACTTAACTGCAATGATTTTAAACCTTTATGACTTAAACCAGCAGTATCTAAAGTGTTTTTCCCAGTTCTGAGAAATGTTAAGGTACAGGAAAAAAACCCCTAGAGCTAAAATACATTGTATGTGATAAACAGTGTTTCTTAAATTTTGGCCAGGGATCCACCTCAACCCTCACCTCCATTTTTTTTTTTCCAATGCAAGGCAGATATTCAATGAAATTGCTTTGGAAAGCACTAATTTGGATCAATAATTTCAAACAGACATGAAATAAATACTCTGAGCATAAATGATCAGTGATTAGAATAATACACAATCTTTACCAGGTCAAGAGTAGGCTGTATTTGATATTATTGGTTAGTAGATAAGGCAAACTAAATATATGATTATTATTAGAGTTCATTGTCTTAAGGAATCTTTTTCTTACCGGTTTCCACCCTAGAGGGACAAATCCAGGGCCAACAAACATTGCATTGAAGTAATTATAAAGAATCATGACAGTCCAATTTATCAACATGATGAAATTCACACTTCCTCCAGTGGTATGTAAGGGCCAATACCACAACACAGAGTCAATCATGGCCATTGTAGAACATATTGCTATAACACCAAGGGCTATGATGGGACCCCAGTGACACAGTCTCTTTAATTCTTGGAGATTTTCAAACTTGATAACTGAGCAGAATGTACCCATTTTGGAGAGGAAGAATGCCTTCCTACTTTTAAATAGTTACAGATTTCCTTTTCCTGTGCACACATTTCCATGTGCCACAAGTCCATGTGTGTTCTTTAATTGTCATGCCTTCAAGTTGTGAAATATTAATGCAGATTATGCCATTTTCACTGGTAAGCACTCAAAACTCTTAACTAGAAGACTCCAGTATCTTGCTTTGAAATTCAACCTAAAAAAACCAAAATGGGAAAATTCAGCAAGAAACTTTATTATATGCTGTATTTGTTAACTGTATTTATTTGTTAACAAGCATCTAAACAAAAGCATCCCACAAGTGCATTACTTTGGGATGAGCATGTTGTCAAAGAATTACTTTTGATTGATCCAAAATACAGTTAAAGTTTGAATGCCATGTAAACTGGATATGTGATTCCAAAATAGATGTTTTTTTTTTATCCTTTCTCCTCAACTTGACTGTCCAACACTTCGTGATTGGTTTGAGAAGACAAAGAATTTTAGAGCTGGGAATTGGAGCTTTGGAGTTGATCCTAATCCAGCTTCCTTCTTCACAGAACAGAAATTGACTTAGAGAGGCTAAGTGATTAGACCAAGGTCACAAGTAAGTAACAGCTGAACCTAAAATAGAAGCCAAGTCATCGAACTCGCTTTAAGGACTTTTAAGCTGCCTCTTAGGAAGTCTTGAGTTAAGCCAAGCATGAGTCAGACGTGGTCTACGCCAATTGCCTGCAGTTGCCCCCTAAATGTTAACCTAACAGTTTATTTGGGGCAAAAGTAAAGAAGCGAGCGTGAAAGCAAAGAAAGAGAGGAGGGGAGGAGAAAAGGAGAAGGAAAGAGAGGAGGCCTGAGTGAAATCATGACTAAAAGAGTGTAGGCGAAAGAATATGAATAAGATTTGAGGGGGAAAAGAAAAAAAAAAAAAAGAAGAAGAAGAAGAAAGGGAAGTGCCTCCGGGAGCGAGGGAGGGGGAAGGCAGGACAGCACGAGGAAGATTTGTAGGGTATTTCCGACTGAGGATCTGAGATACATGGGTAATAGAGATTCCCACGCAACAGATGCCGCTGGCTAGTGCCTCAGTTTCCCGCCCGTGTTTTGGAGCAGAGCGTTTAGAAGTAAATCCTCACTCAGGGAAGAAACATCCTGGCAACCGGGGTTCTTCTCAACATTCGGGAGACTGTGGCCCCCACTCTGGTTAGGAAGACCGCCAAAATCGTGGCTACTTCCCTGCCTCGACTCCCACCTCAGTCTGGTCCCTGGTGCCCGCTCCTCAGCCATCGACTATCCGGGGCGGCCTGGGCTCACCCGGAACAGATTTTCTCCTCCTGGGATGACTCCGTCTTGGAAACCTCAGTCCAGGGCAAGCGGAAAGCAAATCCTGGTTGCAGGAGGCTGGAATGCGGGACCAGCCACGACCGGTGCGTCTCTCCACCCGCGCCCTCGCCGCTACTCTCCCGCTCAGGCCCCCTGCGCAGCCTCCGTCACAGCCACTTCCGGGAGGTTTCCTCCTCAAACTTTCCTCGGGAAGCAAGCTTCTGTGACCTGTAGCTTGGAGAGCCGGAGCCCTTTCCCAGAACACTATAGGGGGGAAAAAATGCTTCAGTGATCCCAGAGAACTCGTATGTTTTCTGAGGCTTTTGGGGGGGCACGAATTGGGCCGCGTTTCCTTAGCGAACTGCTTAATCTTGAAGCCTGAGCGGAAAATAAAAAGCGTTCGCAGCCCAATTTCCGGAGGACCGAGATTGCGACGAACAACCAGGAAGCGACTGGGCTGGGAGCTGTCCCCGGTTCTCCGCTCTGCTCTCGAGGACACCTCCCGGGTTCCCTGAGACGCGGCCCCCCCACCCCAGCCCGCTCGCGAGGCCCCTGCCTTGACCTAGGCTCTGACCCCGGACAGTCACTCCGGAGCAGCCATGTCGTCCGACTTCGAAGGCTATGAGCAGGACTTCGCGGTCCTCACTGCAGAGATCACCAGCAAGATTGCGAGGGTCCCCCGACTCCCGCCTGGTGAGAGCCTTGCCCCTGCCGGGCGGGGGGTGGTCTGGGGAGCGGTGAGGCGGGGGCTGTGGAACGCGGCCTGAACCAGTGTGTCTCTGAGGCGCGAGGCAGGAGTGGGTGGTGGTGGCGGTCTCCCGGAGCGATGGGGCTTGACTTTGTTGAGGGCAAAGAGTGCAAGTTCGGTTGTGGGGTGCAGTCAAAAGACCCTTCGGAATCTGAGCCATCTGGGTTTGAATCCTAACTCCACCTCCTTGAAACTTGTGTAACCTTGAGGGTGTTTCTCTGAATCTTAATGTTTCCATTTGTAAAATATTGAGTTGTGTGTATTAAAAAAAAATGAATGAAAGTACGTAGATAACGTAGATTATGGATCCGCAATATACAGCAGTTTTGGTGTGATGGTAATCATGTTCTTGTTATTGTATGCAGCAAAATGGAGTTAAGAGCCAGGGTGCCTGGATTCAAATCCCAACTCTGCCACTTAGAAGTTATGCCCCTTAAGCAAGTTTCTTGACCTGTCTAAACTTCCCTTCTTGGTAAATGGTGACATTGTACCTCTCTCATAGGGTTGTTGTGAAGATTAAATGATATAAAATAGCATAACATATGTAAAGCCATTTCTTGTATGTTAGCTGCTGTTATCATTAGTATTTTTTATTCCCACCCTTAGTTCTTGTTTCTTGTCCTTCTTGGGGATTTATAACCCAATTTCATGTAAAACTTGGTACAGGATAATTATTTGCACTTAAAATTTTACATATCCTATTTGGAAATTTGGAAATGTTTTTGTTTTTGTGTTTAGCACATCTTACTTTCCATTCTAGACTGTCAGTCAACTATGCGGAGGTAGGAGCTGTCTCTGATTCCCTTGGCATCTACTTACTAGGGTCTCAGAAAAATGTTTAAGTGAATGAACTGATGAATAGAAATGTGATATTTTGTGACTTTTATTTGTAAGATGTTTCAGGATTTATCTTTCTGTAAGTACAGATTTAATTTGAGTAATTACTTACAGGTAAGATTTTTACTTTTTAGTTAGTTAAGAAATCGAACCATCATCTGGCTGCTACACTTGGCGCTACTGTAGCTCTGGGATATAAAGTATAGAAAGGGGAATGGTCATTGATCTGTGGACTGGTGGGCAACCTACTTTCCCACCTTGTCAGTCAAGTCTTGGTGCCAGCAATAATTTCTCCTGGACCTAAATTGTCATTTCTCTTTACCTTTCCCTTGTTTCCCCCAAAACTTAAGTGTTTAAAAATAATTTTCTTTCTTTATTTCTTTGTTTTTCTTCCCCTCACCTATTTTCTGTTAATAGGGATATTTGCTTGAAGCCAGGATCTCTGAACTTACACCCCACTCATCTACTGAAGTCTCAGTTAGTTCTGGAGGAGGTGGATGATGTCTTAAAGAGGTTTATGAGTCCAAGTAAGGGAACAAGAGGAGAGAACCAAGGTAGCATATACCACCGAGCTCTGCTGCCTCAGAGATTTTTGTGGCGAAAGTGGCTGATGGCCTCATCACTTCATGATACATCACCTCACCTCTTCAGTTCTACTTTTCTCCACTGCCCAAGATCATCTTTATTTTTGTTGTTATTGTTAATGGAAACTACTTCCTTTGAATTGAGTCCCAGAGCCTCAGAATATCAGGACTTGTGGGTTAAATTGGATTTTTGCTCATTTATACTTTTAATTGTTTTAGCAGTAGAAACTTTTCTTTGTTTGGGCTAATAGCTTTTGTATTGGGAAGCTGTTTTACAAAGTAACAAAGTTATCCCTGGGTGCAAAGTTGTAAAAACTGCTTCCAAAGAAAACAGATTTTGTTACAATTGAGTTTTTCTTGCCTTTATAGTTTAATATAACAATTCTTAACACATAGAAGAAAACTTTTGAATTGAGGACCTCAAAAATAAAGTCATACCTTTCCTTAGTTGTAGTATAATATAAGGCCCAAACATAGCAGCTATGTTATAACTGAAAGGAGACTGCATTGCTGGCACTGGAAAAATGCTTACTGATTTGAATAATTAAATAGTTGTAACTCTTAAAAGTGCAGTGGCCTCTCTCTTAATAATGACTTGTGCATGCCTCATTTATAATCTATTTCTAATTGATAAATAGAAAAAGATGAAAAAGTATGTCGATGTAGTTATGAATTTCAGATGTATGTCTGTGGATTAACAGAAATGAACATGTACAACCATGGCAAAAACAGTATGATTAAAAGTAATTACAATGTCTCTCACTGAGCATCATTAGTGGTTGTGATATTCAGCTAAAATTGACCCAGAGAAGATAAACTGTGATTTATTTGAGTTAAGAAGGTTAAAAAATGGAGGAAACTTTCTGGCCAAAGCAGTTTATTCCCCACCATATTAACTTATTTAAATTGAAGTACAGTGAGTAGATCTAGTGAAATGAGATTTACTCTCTGCTGTGCATGTTTGATGTATTAAAGTGTTACTTCCCAGGAGAATAGGAAAGATTGAACATTTTAGAACTTTAAGGAATTTGATTGCTCTGTGATATGTTATAACAATAAAAAGATTTTGCTCTTAGACTAAAGTGTTGAATCTTAACTAATTTTAGTAATTGGACTGTTGAGATGGGTGAGTCCCTTAATTATTCTTATAGAACTATATTTGAAAATTGATTTTTAATGATTACTGTTCTGTGGCAAAGTCAGGAAGATGGATGAACAGAAACCACAATTAATACTCTGTTGTGAAGTTCCTTTCTCTGAGTGAATTCCTAAGTGGAGGATGCTTTCCACTGGTGAATAGGTTCCATTATATTAAGCAGGCTTCCTGAAGGATCTTAAAGCGAGTTTTATTGCAATTAGTTGCTTACCTCACAATTCACAGAGAGATGAATGGTCTGATATGAATCCTATCCCTTTGTGGCTATAGTCAGAAATGTACCAAGAAAGTATTATAGCAAAGCAGTTCAGACTCAGACATGATATCAGATCTGTTTAGAATCCCATTTCTGCTACTTATGAGATGTGCAATTGTGGGCAAATTTCTTGGCCTCTCTAGGCCTGCCTCCTCCATCTGTAGAATGGGGGTAAGAATTTCAACCTTACAGTGTTGTAAAAATCAAATGAAGTAAAACATTTAACATGCTGGCACAGTTATTACTCAGAGAAAGTGCATGATAAACTAGCTAGATACTGCTGCTGCTTCTGCTACTCTGAAGATAACAGCTGGTAAGATTAGCCAGGACCCAGCTCTTCAGACTTTGTCATATTAGTTGAACTCTTAAAGAAACCTTGGACTTCAATTCTTGCTTCCTTTCTGTGCTTAGAGTTAGGTGAATTGCTCTTGATGAGTACATTTGAAAGGAGGGGAGCAATCAGGGATTTTTGGAGATGAAATTGGAATTGGACTTTGAACACAGGATAACAAGGAGGGAATCAGAGGAGAGAAGTGAACGTGGTGTGGGGCAAGGTGGGTGTCCTTTCTGAAGGGAAATGCTCAAGTCCAGTGGATTAGCTCTGCCGAGCCCTAGAGGATTGTCTCGTACACCATCTAAACTTAGCCATGTATGAATGACGCCGTAAACATTGTCTTGTGATCCTCTCTTGCCTTTGCAAGGTGGTTATAATGAAAAAATTTAGAGGAATCTGCTTTTATTTATGAATACTGTTTTCTTAAAATATATATGGCTCTAGAGCTGTACTGTCTGCATGTAGCTATTGAGCACTTGAAATGTAGCTATTGCCACATTGAGAAATTATAATATTTTAGATATATTGGGTTAAATATTATTAAAACTTAAAACATTATTAAAACTAATTTCACTTGTTACCTTTTTTTTTTTTTTTTTTTGAGACAAGAGTCTCACTTTGTTGCCTGGGCTACAGTGCCATGGTGTCAGCCTAGCTCACAGCAACTTCAAACTCCTGGGCTCAAGCATTCCTTCTGCCTCAGCCTCCCAAATAGCTGGGACTACAGGCATGTGCCACCATGCCTGGCTAATTTTTTTAGATATATATTTTTAGTTGTCCAGCTAATTTCTTTCTATGTTTTAGTAGAGATGGGAATCTCGCTCTTGCTCAGGCTCATATCGAACTCCTGAGCTCATCCACCCACCTTGGCTCCCAGAGTGCTAGGATTACAGGAGTGAGCCACTGCACCCAGCCCACTTGTTACTCCTTAAGATGCAGCTACTAGAAGATTTAAAGTTAGTTTTATAGTTCTGTTGCCCTAGAGAGTTAAAGTTGGAGGGATGGTGCCAGCCAATCCTAATTGAGGAACTCACTGCCACCACAGACAGTTTGCCCTGTGCTACCTCACAAATGTGCTACCTCACATTTGGCTTCTTAAATGCTAGGCAAGGTCCAACTTCTTCAGCTGAGCATATGGGAAAAATAGCCTTCAGCTGTTACAGATAGCCCAGTTATTTCTTATTAAAAATTTGAGCATTTGAGGAGTTTTATTCATCTTTGAATAATATACACACTTTTAAACATATGTGTATATTTATAGATATATATATACTTATCTATATGTTGTATGTATGTGTGTATATATTGTTGAAGGGATCTCCCTCCCTTCAACAACTTACTAAGTAATAGTAATGGTTTCTTTTTTTAAAATAAACCTTTTATTTTAGAACAGTCTGAAATTTACAGAAAAATCACAAAGATAGTACAGAGAATCCCTATATACCCCATGCCCATTTTCTCCTATTATTGGCATCTTACATTAATATGGTACATTTGTTACAGCTAGTGAGCCTATATCGATACACTGTTATTAACTAAAGTCCATGCTTTATACAGATTTCCTTAGTTTTTAAAAAGAAATTTAAAATTTTTTACCTAAAGTCTTTTACTAGTCCAGGATCCAAACCAGGATACTACAAAACATTTAGTAGTCATGGCTCCTTAGGCTCTTCTTGGCTGTGACAGTTTCTCAGCCTGTCTTTGTTTTTGATTAGAGGAGTACTGGTCAGATATTTTCTAGAATATTCCCTCAATTGGGATTTGCTCCATATATTTCTCATTAAACTAGAGTTATAGGGTTTTGGGAAGAAGACCACAGAGGTGAAGCACCATTTTCATCACGTCTGATCAAGAGCACATACTGTCAACATGACTTATTACTACTGATGTTAACTTTGCTGAGGTAGTGTTTGTCAGGTTTCTCCACTGTAAAGTTCCTCCCCTCCCCCCTTTTCCATACTGTTTGGAAGAAAATCATATGCATAGCCTACACTTAAGGAGTGGGGAGTTATGCCCTACCTTCTTGAAGATGAATATCTATATAAATTATTTGGAATTATTCTCTATGAGAGAGATTTATCTATTCATTTATTTACTTAGTCTTTTATATGAATATGGTTTCATGGATATTTATTTTATCCTTTGTGTTATATTTTATAAATTCTTGTCTTTCATTATTTATTTAATTTACCATCGTTTTTCGAGAACTGATTATATGTGCCAGGCTCAGTGCTGGCATAGGACTACAAAGATGATTAATTAAGCCATGGCTCCTGTTTTCCCAGAGCCCCCAAGATGAAAGGTTAAGCAGACCTGTTCATATGAGAGATAAATCATTAGGATTATGTAAGAGTTATAGGTGCTTTATGTAAGAGAAAGTGATTAATTTTTTGGTTGGGTTAGGAAAGGCTTTAAAGGAGTAGTGATTTCTGAAGAGAGTTTTGAATAGCAATTTGCCAGGTGGTCTTGGTAGAGATATGCATAAGCATTGGGATTAAAGGTCCTGGAAATATAACAGGATTAGAGGTGAAGATTTAGTATCATAAATATATAATACGATAGTTTAAAAATGGATGAAATTACCTAGGGATATAGACAATAGTCATAAAAGAAGAAAAGCAAGGACTGAACTCGGAGGAGCACCAACACTTAAAAGATGGGCTGAAAAATGCAATGCCCAGCAGAGGATATGGAGATGGGAGTGAATGTTTAGGAGAGTCACAAATCACAAATCAGTGTGTCATGGAAGCCAGAAGAGGAGAAAGTTACCGGATGGGAGGAACAAAGTATCAGAAGCCACAAGATTAAATAAAAATAGGACCAAAGAATGTCTATTAGTTCGGGAAAAGGAAATGTTATTAATCTTAGGGAGAGTCATTTCTGGAGGAATGGTGGAGGCAGGAGCTGGCTCACAGGGAGATGAGGAAGGGAAACACAGTCTACTATTGCTTTGAAGAAAATTGGCTGTGGATGAAAGGAGAGGGATATTAGCAAAGGGCAATGCAGGTCAAAGGAGGTTTCCTTTGTTTTGTTTTATTAATGAAAAATACTGATGCACATTAGTCCTGGAGGTCCATGGCATGGATTTTCCTAAGGACTGAATACCTTAAAGAAAACAAGATGTTCCTTCTGTTAAGTAAATACATGATCTCACTCTTGGTCCAAAATGGGTTTGTCTCATTTTGCATTCTGCTCTATCACAAAAATACAATACTATTCTACTATAACTGTAGGGAGATGTTAGAAGGATTGAAATGTGCCAAAAGCAAATAAATTTGGGATCATATATTAAATTTTTAATTTGGTCATGTATAGACTTAACCTTTTCAAGGAACGGAAATTAAGCTGAATTCTAATTCCAAATGTATATTTTTCTTAGGGAGAAATATTTAGAGTAAATATACAATACCTTATGTGAGAGTCATCCACAGCCCCCACCCACTCAATTTGAGGGTAACAAAGTAAAGGGGTTGGAGTTAGCAGGATATAATTATTATTACACTAAAATAATAATTTCTACTAAAGATTCCTACTTAGGATTGACTGTCCTTCTAAAGGACTGGTAAACTAGTTAGGTATTATACCCATTTCAAGCTATGTGACTTTTCTAGTCTGTTCTGTTAGTCTCATTAGGTTTCATGTGATATAAATCCAATTTTAAAGAAAAATCAATTTTTGTGGCTCAAGAAACCAAACTATAATAAAGTCAAGTTTTATAAGGTCGAGCCATTTCAGTTATTTAGAACCAGGAACTAACTATATCTATTCCTCTATCTCTCAGCTTTGTTTCTTTCTTTTAATATTGTCATTATTATTTATATTTTATAGTAGAGACAGGATCTTGCTATGTTGCCCAGGCTGGTCTCAAACTTCTGGGCTCAAGTGATCCTCCCACCTCAGCTTCCCAAAGTGCTGGGTTTACAGGTGTGAGCCACTGGGCCCAGCCAGCTTTGTTTCTTTTTTAAATGTAGTCTTCATTTTCAACCATTGCAAACTTGCTTTCTTTTTGGAACTAGACCAACAAATATCAACAGCTTCTAGGCTCATGTTCTCATTACCGGGAGAGAGGAAAAGACTATCCTCTTGCTCTAGAACTTTGGTCTCCTTGGGTTGTATGCCTATCTAACTGCATGTCCCCCTGAACAGTGTGGCCAGAAGGATTGAGCTACTGAGATTAGTCTAGCTAGGATGAGATGCCCATTATTTGCTAACTCACTGTGACTGAAGAGGCAGGGTCATGTAAGGAGATAGCATTTTCCATTGCCCTGCTTGTTGGGGAAGGAGGGCCTCCAAAGAGTGGGGACTTTTGACTAAGAAGAAAAGGGTGCTAGAAAGACAAAACTATAAATATTCCACAAGTTTGATTAGCACACAACTTAGTTGGGCTAAGTGAATGGATAGGCTGATTGATTTGAAATGAGCGTATGGGAAAGTTTTCTGAAATTATCTGCCAGGACATACCTGTCCTAGAGAAGGGGATTATAGTTGGGTTATAACTTGATTCTGATAGAGTTGAAATAAACCACATGCAGACTTAGCACTTTACAATTTAAAAGTAATTTCACTTGCATCAAGCTTATTTGAGCTAAAAATAATCCAGAATATATTTTTTATTCCCATTTTAGAGAGTATAGACTAAGTTTCAAAAAGAAATATTTCTTCCCCAGAATCCCATAACCAGTAAGATAGTGTCTTTGGGTTTGGAATCAGTAGTCCTGACTTCAAATATTTCCTCCATTATACTCAATTTTTAATGCTACTGAAAATACAAGTTTCTTAAGGATTATAAATTCTTGCCTAGTTTTAGGAAGTGTTTTTGTATTTGACTTTAAAATTGCACTAATAAATCAGTTATTCCCAATTTATTAAAGTTATGACTCATACCACCACTAAATCTGCTATTGTTGACATGGTCTCTCCTAAAGAACAAAATAATTTTTAGTGTCTCTTAAAAATGTATAGCATTGGCTGGGCGCGGTGGCTCACACCTGTAATCCTAGCACTCTGGGAGGCCGAGGTGGGTGGATTGCTCGAGGTCAGGAGTTTGAAACCAGCCTGAGCAAGAGCAAGACCCCGTCTCTACTATAAATAGAAAGAAATTAATTGGCCAACTAATACATACAAAAAAAATTAGCCGGGCATGGTGGCACATGCCTGTAGTCCCAGCTACTTGGGAGGCTGAGGCAGCAGGATCGCTTGAGCCCAGGAGTTTGAGGTTGCTGTGAGCTAGGCTGCCGCCATGGCACTCACTCTAGCCTGGACAACAAAGTGAGACTCTGTCTCAAAAAAAAAAAAAAATGTATAGCATCTCTTAATAATTAGGTACTCTATAGGGTTATATATTTCCAGATAGCCTAGAATCAATGGTTCTAACCCACCAAAGAATGATAGTCTCTTTTTCTTTATTCTCTAATCTGATTGACCAGAATGGACAAAGGTATATAAAAATAGAGATTTTTAAATATTAAATTTATTCATATCCTTTACAATTTCTTGATATTATTGTTTGTTTCAGATGAGAAGAAACAGATGGTTGCAAATGTGGAGAAACAGCTTGAAGAAGCAAAAGAACTGGTATGTACAGACTTACTAATGTATTTTTACATGCAACCAGAGCCATTCAAGCTAATGCCTTCCTCTAGCCTATCTTATACATTGTGGAAATGTGAAACATTGCTGATTAGCATTTTATAATTCAGAATTAATCAGTTTTCAAATTGAGAATTTAATCGCTTCTTGGGCTTTTATTTTTAATAAAAGTGATTCATTGTCTACCTCTAATTATTATTCATTCATAATAGCTATAAATAGCTAATGCTGAATAAAGGTATACTGGGTTAAGCATATTACTTGCCTTATAATATTTAATTTTCTCAAATGCCCTATGAGACAAGTATTATTTGTCAGAAACTATAAAGGGTCTAATATTTTCCCCTACTTGCAAGCTGAGGCTTAGAAAGATTAACTTATCTGAGGTTCCATACCCTGTTAAGCAGTGGGGTAAGGATTTGTATCTAGATATGCTAAACCCAGAGCTCTAGCTTATTCACTCCTTTTTTATATAAATAAATTCATAAATTAGAGAGCAAAAAAGTACTAATAAGTATTGTGTTCTAATTTTTGCTTTTAAAAGCCAAGTATTAACAAGTATGATTGTACTTCTTATTGCACATTGTGGTGTTAAATGAGTGTGTTTCTTTTCTAAATATGGAAGGGTGTTAGTTGGTGTTCCTTCAGTACTACTTACTGATATCCTTAGGACAATTTCCCAAACTGTGTTTCTGTTAACTGGTATTACCTGTTCAGATAAGTCTGGGAAACTATAGTTTAAACAGAGTAGGAGATTGGGGTCTTTTTTGGTGGTGGTTTTTCTGTAGAACCTTTTGGGACCCTTAAGTAGACTAAAAGACATTATGAATCTCTAAGAAAGGACCACAGAGGGCAACTAGAGACTGGAGCATTCCCCAAGCTTATTTGACTTAGTAATATTTGTTAGCAAGACCATATATGAGGACTGCTGCTTTGGGGGGTTATTAAGGAGCAGGTGGTAGTTGTTCCCCATTGCACAGTAGACATTTCCTCTGTGTCTTCAAGTGCTGAGGCTTGGAACTTCTCTGTCACTGATTATTTTCTAGCCATCAGGATGTCTGATGTGCTCCATACCCTGTAAGGTCTACTTCTAGTCTCTATTGCTGCTGTCACTGTCTCCATAGTGGCAGCTTACCTTTAATCTCCAGGGTGTCTAATGTTTGCCTCTCTTTTAAAAGTTTTTTTTAAATACTTTTCTCCATACTTTCTTTTCTTTTTCTTTTCAACTGCTTTCTCATGCTTCCTGGCTTTCATGTAAAAAAGACTGATTTTTTACATACAGTGTAGCCACTCAGTACAATTCTTCCACCTGGCTGGCAGGATAGTCGTAAATGGTCAGTTCTTTGGATCTTGAATTGACCTCTTGTTTTGTTGCTGAGTTCTCAGGAGCAACTTTTTTGCTGTCAAAATCTGTTTTGGTTTATTTGGTTGCCTTCTTCTGGAGATGTTCTGTTTACATGATGATGTTAGAAAGCTGGTCTCCTGATAGCCAAGGTTTCACTGTAAAAATAATATAAAATATAGCTCCCTCATGGAGTTTATAGTTATCTTCAGTTACTTACTAATATAAAGAGTTTTGTCCAAGATATATGTTTTTGTTTGCTTAAAATGACCAGAAAGCTGATTTACTTTATTCTAATGTCCTTGTTAAGGACACTGTTTGTTATATTACATACTGTCCTTTTGATGAGGATCGGAGAAAAGCTTCCTTTTTTTTATTTGACTGTTAGGATTAATCGTGTTTCTGCTAAACAGTTGGTTTGTATTAATCTTTTGGACACTGCACGTCTTGTAATTATTTTGTCTTCCATCTATGTTGGCCATATAAATGATGTGACAACATAGAACAAGTAAATACTAGCTTTATTCCTGGTTTCATTTTAAATGCTTGTTGTGTGTTTCCTTTTTCTTTCCTATCTACTTTTAATTTAGTTTTTTGTGTCCATGTAAAATGCCTTAAACAAAAATAAATGTACTTAGCTCTCAAATTATTTTTTAAGAGACAAGGTCTCGCTCTGTTGCCCAGGCTGGAGTGCAGTGTCATGATCATGGTTCACTGCCACCTGCAATTCCTGGGCTCAAGCAATCCTCCCACCTTGGACTCCCAAAGCACTGAGGTTACAGGTGTACCTGGCCAACCCTCAGATTTTGATTTACATACGTGAACTTTTGCAATTATTTTTCTAGATGATCCTGTTCACCTTGTTAGAGTGAAGTACTTGATGATTTCAGAGAGGTGCTTTAAATAATTACCTTGCTAAGTGATGATTTAATTTATTGGTGCCTTACATTTATATTGAAACATGTCAGTAATTTAAATGATCATTATTTGAATCAAGGCTAATTAAAATTTTTTTCTTTATAAAAATTGAGGCCTGTTAATTAAAATGTGATTGTCTGGTTTATCTATATCATACTATAGTTATTAAGTCTCTATTACTGGATAATAAGAGTTTTATTAATAATAAGCCTATACTACTCATGGAAATAATTTTATTAGATTGCTTTAAAAGGTAGAACACATGGCAACATTTTTGCATGTGATTTTATCAAACATGGCATGGGCCAATTTGGGCTTACAAAATTAGGCACAAAAGTAGTTCTAACGTTATTTAATCATTCAGCACCCTGGGTCTGATTCCTCAACTGGTACATTTAGTACCCTGAGCCTGGTTCCTCAGCTATAAAATAAGGAATTGGAATTAAATCCTTTCAGCTCTGAACATTTGGTCAAATAAATAATAAACATATGGTTTAAATTACATTTTTCTTTCCCTTCTAGCTTGAACAGATGGATTTAGAAGTCCGAGAGATACCACCCCAAAGTCGAGGAATGTACAGCAACAGAATGAGAAGCTACAAGCAAGAAATGGGAAAACTTGAAACAGATTTTGTGAGTCAAATTTCCTCCTTTGTCATATTTCCTGATTTTTAAACTGAATTTTCACTTATGTTTTTTATTGTTTCCTCCTCACAGCTCAATGAACACTAAATGCATAGTCTTTAGGGGCTTATGTAAGAGATAAGCGACAGCTTCCATTGTTTGTGAATTGGGGATCTAAAAATGGTTATAGAAATAGCTAATGATGGAATTTAAGGTACATTGGATTCATGACTCACTAATAGATTCAAATCATGTGGTCCTTTGAGTCTGAATAATATTTATTGGCAGTGGTATTGGAATTTATTAGAATTTTGAAGCCAAGTTTCTGGCCAAAGGGTTTTCAGCCTTTGAGATGCAGCCCAGATTTTACTGTAAAAAGAATATAAAATATGACTCCCACATGGAGTTTATAGTCATCTTTAGTTATTTACCAATGTAAAGAGGCCTTTATGTTCACAGCCTCTGGATTCAAGGGCTCATGAATCTTCTAGAAGTCCAATCTGTATGTTGGAAGCATGTTTCTATGTGTGTTTTTTCCTTAGATAAGCTCTATAGATTCATTAGAGTCTCAAAGGATATATTATGCCTTTCCTCCCCAAAAGATAAAAAGAACTACTTTCAATTAGTAACTTATATGAGATCCCTTCAATTGATTGTCTGTGAGAATATTTAGCCTTCTTTTCCAATATGTCTAGTTTCAGCTCTATTCACTTTATAGGAAATTTAAGAATACATATTTAAAGGCATAATGTTAAAGTTGTTAGTTATTAGAAATTAATAGGAGTAGAAAATATACAGCTGAGCAATGCAATTTCTGGTTATATATCCAAAAGAATTAAAAGCAGAGTCTTGAAGAGAGATTTACACATCCATGTTCATAGCAGTATTTTCACAATAGCAAAAATGGTGGAAGCAACCTAAGTGTCCATTGATGGATATATATATATATATATATATATATATATATATATATATATATATATATATATATATGAAAACAAAATGTTATATATACATACAATGGCATATTACTCAGCCTTAAAAAAGGAAGAAAATTCTGACACATGCTACAGCAGGACATTATGCTAAGTGAAAAAGTCAGTCACAAAAAGACTAATACTGTATAATTTAGAGGTGTCAAGAATAGTCAAATTCATAGAAACAGAAAGGAGAATGGTGGTTTCCAGGGACTGGGGGAAGGGAGAAATGGAGAGTTGTTTCATGAGCACAGAGTTTCAGTTTTGCAAGATGAAAAAGTTCTGGAGATTGGTTGCTCAGCAATGTGAATATATTTAACACTACTGAATGATACACTTAAAAATGGTTAAGATAATAAATTTTATGTTATGTGATTTACCACAATTAAAAATTAAAATTAAAAAAAAGATATAAAATATTTTTAAAACCTTGCTAATGACAAAAGTTTGAAGAAGTTAACAGAAACAACTCTCTGCTCTTGTATAGGCTGGCATAGAAAATTAGGAGTTTAGCAAATAAATTTCATATCACTAACATTAAACAGCAATTAAAAGAACAGATGAGGAAAGATTTGAGCCTCACCTATGAGTGACAGAAGGCACGTGTTGACACATAAATCAGCTGTATTTCTGAATCTGGGGCCCAAATTCACAAGGGAAGTCAAAAATTTATAAGGATTTTTCAATCTCTCTTCCTGCCTTACATGTTTTACTTCTGGAAGCTATACCTAGATTACACTATACCTTTCCACTACAAGGCCGATGACAATGGACATAGTAGAAATTTCTCCTAGAGTCTGGAAATAGGGTGATTTGCAGTTATGTATATTTATTTTATATTTTAATGGATATTATCCACAGGTCACATCAATAACTCTGCTGCAATCGCCTTTTAAACTGTGCTCCTATTAATATGAAAAAAAAAAATTGGAACACATGATGGGCCTAAATTGATAAAATAAATGTAAATGCCTAGCTCTGTGCTCTTTACTACGTAAAACCTTCTACAACTGCTTTATGAAAAGATAGTTTCTCTCAGCAAGAATATGAAGATATGGAGAGAAAACTAGGTTGATTTAAGAACTTGGCAACTCAAATTTATATTTAAAAAATTCTAACTAATGTTTCCATATAAGTGATAAAAGTAAAATAAAATGTTAATAATGATTATTTTAGTTTGCTTATCTCATTTTTTTTTCTTTCTATGAGACATTCAGAGGTTACCTCATTTTTATAGAACTCTTTTCCGAAGATTTTTCTCATAGGTTCTAGAAAAACTAAGTATTAATTTACTAGGGCTATAACAAAGTACCATAGAATAGGTGGCTTAAACAGCAAAAATGTGTTTTCTAAGGCCGGGCATGGTGGCTAACGCCTGTAATCCATAATCCTGTAATTCTAGCACTTTGGGAGGCCTAGGAGGTCAGGAGTTCAAAACCAGCCTTAAAAAGAGTAAGACCTTGTCTCTACAAAAAAGAGAAAAACTGGCCAGGTGTAGTGGCATGTGCCTATAGTCCCAGCTTCTCCCGAGGCTGAGGAAGGAAGATCACTTGAGCCCAGGAGTTTGAGGTTGCAGTGAGCTATGGTGATGGCACTGCACTCTAGCTGCTGTGACAAAGTAAGACCTTGTCTCAAAAAAAAAAAAAATTGTTTTTTCATAACTCTGGAGGCTAGAAGTTCAAGATCAAGGTGTTGGCAAGGCTGGTTCCTTCTGAGGCCTCCGTCCTTGATTTATAAATAGCTTTCCATGTGTCTTCATGGAGTCTTCCCTGTACATATGTATCTGTATTCTAATTTCCTCTTGTTATAGGACACCAGTCATTTTGAATTAAGGCCCATACTAATGACCTTATTTTAACCAAATTGCCTCTTTGAAGATCCTGTCTCCAAATATGGTCACATTCTCAGTATGAGGATTAGGACTTCAATATATCAATTTGGTGGGGACACAGTTCAGCCTATAACATTGAATTTAGTTTTAATCTTTTCTTAAAATTTTTTTCAGAAGTTAAATTATTTCCATGGCTTATTATAAGTCAGCTAACTTAATCTTCAGTCTTTTTTGTTTCCCAAAGAGTCCAATACTGGGTAATGTCCTTTAGGTATTTGGGAATTATATACTTGGATAAGTGTTCCTTTCTCAGCTATATTTTCTATTATAAAGAAAAATGGAACCAACAACTATGAACTGAAAGTTTATTCTGTAGGCTATCATTAAAAATTCATTTGTTTATATGTGTATTTGCTGCCACAGAGTTCTTCCATCATGTCAGGAAACATCTTTCACCACCACCTCTGCTTCTACTGTATAGTGATTTACAGTATGTAAAGTAAATTAACACATATTATTTCATTTCAATGTGTGAAGAGTAGACAGGGCAGCTATGGATTACTATCCTCATTACACAGGACAGAACCAAGAGGCTCAGATTAATTATAGATTTCATTCAGCAAGTCTTTCTTTAGTCCTGTAGTGTATCAGGCAAATGCTAAGTGCTAGAAATACAACAGTGGTCGAGACAAAGTTCTTGCAGTCATGGAAGTTAAATTCTAGAGGGGGGAAATCTAGTGGGGAAGATAAAAAAATACATGTATGTTATAGTTTCAGGTAGTGATAAATGCTATAAAGAAAAATAAAGTGAGACTTCTTTAGGTACTTGAAGACAGCTTTTTAAAACACCAGAATTCATGTAAACTGTTCTTGTAATTTCTTCCTTCAGTATTGGTATGAAATTAGCTAGAGTCAGATCGTGTCAGGATGTTCCAGGAAAATGAACCAGCCAAAAGAAAAAAAAAATGTAGTTGAGGTCATTTTTTCAAGTTTAAGATTATTGTTTGATTCTTAAGAATATAAAATCAAATTTAAAAACTCTAAACTTATACAAATAGAACTCTCCACCCCAAATTATACAAAATGTTTGACTAAGTCTCCGTAAATAGAAAAAGAATTTTTCGTTTCATGTACATAAGCATGGGAGCCACACACAAAGTGTGAGACTCCAAGAAGGGCCAGATACCTGAAGCTTTTATACCATACAGAAGGAATAGAGGCTTGGAGTGTGGCGACAGGTTGTGGGAGGGACAGGGCAGAAAACGCTTGGCGAGCAAAGCCTGTCTCGTTATGCACATGATATCTCTTAGGTAGTAGCCCTGGAGAATAGATGGTAGCTGTGGTGGTAAATTTCTCTGACCCTTACAGTGTCAGACTTTCAGTCTTCTTTTCCTGTGAGTTAATCTTTCCTATTTCTGGATAAGGCAGATAAAGGGGCCTCAGGGAAAGCCTGTTTGCATCTGCTGTTTATTTCTCCAATGTAGATTTCCTCTGCAGGTGCAAATCTCTCTCACAAAGGGCAGCCTTTCAGAACTGTTTCTGTATTTGCAGCCTCTCTGAATACCCACCTTGAAATATGCCAAAAAGTATATTTTGGGGTGGCATGTTTTGGTTTCCTTCATTATGATAACCTGTCATAGAATGTAATTTGTAACTGACTAAATACCAATTTAAAATATTTTAAAATTCAGGCCGTAATTGTAATCATAATTGTGGGAGGTTGAGGAAAGTTAGTGGTCCCCATTTATGTCCCCATTTATATTGTTGCTATTCCCAATGATTCTTTTCACCTGCCTAATTCCATTCTTCTTGAGTTTTGGCTTCTTATAGCCTAATATTGTTCATTTCTGTCTTCTTGTAATCTAAGAGTAAGTTAGGAATATTAGATCCAGAAGAGTCCAAATCTAGTCACCTTAATTTTTAGATGAAGGAATGGAGGACCAAGGAGACCAGATGACTTACCTTAAAGTCACATTGTTTAGGACCACGACCAGAATCAAACAAATAAGCACCCATTCTAATGTTCTTTCTGTGGTCCTTTGTAACATTCTTACCCCTCGCTTTCAAATTTCCAAAAATATATATTTAATAGCCTCTCAAGGTATTCGAAAACAACCTTTTAAAATATTTGAATTCATGGAAGCTGTTCTTGTAATTTCTGGCTTCATTATTGGTGTGGCGTTAGCAAGGGCCTGGTCATG